CACCCCCATTGCAAGCGAGCGAAATTCTCTGAAAAACTTCGGAATTAACACCGAATGTGGAGGTAAAACCAATAGGTTTTTGTAGTAGAGCGACCCCCTTTGAGCTGGTAACCAGCTTTGAACTGAGGATCCAACAAAAGACCCTGAACAATCATCTTCAATTTATCATCATTGTGCACCTCTTCCTCAATATTCTTCAATTCCCGCGTATGCATCATTGAAAATGCATGCAAGAGGGACTCCTCGGCTTTTTTGGATAAAGCATCCGCTACGCTGTTATCACGACCCGGTTTATATTGGATCTCAAAATCCAATCCAATGAGCTTACAAATCCATCATTGTTGGTCTTCATTCATGAATTGCTGTTCCAAAAGAAATTGCAAGCTCCATTGATCCGTTTGCACGATAAAATGCCTTCCCTAAATATAATGCCGCCATTTCTTTGTAGCCAACACAATCGCCATTAACTTGCGTTCATAGATTGATTTTGAGTGACCTCTCTCAGAAAGCGATTGGCCGAGGAACGCAATGGGCTTGTTATCCTGCATCAAAACAACTCCAAGTCCTCGACCGGAGGCATCAGTCTCAATGACAAAGGTTTTGGTAAAATCTGGCAAGGCTAGGACTGGTATTGTTATCATCTTTTGTTTGAGCTCCTCAAAGGCCCCCTGTGCCTTGGAAGTCCACAAAAAAACCATCTTTCTTAAGTAAGCATGTTAAGGGCTCGGCCACCTTACCATAATCCTTCACAAAATGCTTGTAGTAGCTCGTGAGCCCCCAAGAAACCGCGCAAATCCCTAACGTTCTTTGGAATAGGCCAATCAACCATGGCAACAATTTTCTTAGGATTAGCTTGAACTCTAGTGTCAGTGATGATGTGACCCAAATACTCTATCCTTCGCTGCCCAAAAACACACTTCTTGTTGGCGACCAAATGGTGTTGTTGCAGCACAAAAACACTGCGCAGGTGCTGTAAATGGGAATCCCAATCCTTACCTATATAGACAAGAATATCGTCAAAGAAAACTAAGATGAATTTGCTAAGTGTGGTCTGAAAACTTCGTTCATTAAGGATTGGAAAGTAGCAGGTGCATTTGTTAGACCGAATGGCATAACCTAAAATTCATAATGACCCTCATGAGTGCGAAAAGCTGTTTTCGATGTATCCTCCTCACGCACCCTGATCTGATGGTATCCAGACTTCAGGTCCAACTTGGAAAAGAAAACTTCACCTCCTAACTCGTCCAAAGAGCAAAGACAGATGAATATGAAATTTATTCAAATGCAATCAATCACTATAATAATGGTGATATTCGAGAGATTATCGGCTCTCCTCTCTAAAACTCTACACTTCCAAAAACTGCCCTAACCTCTCGAGTTCCCTCTTATTTATAGACTAACTCAGTCCCAGTCACAACCCACGCTCCCATGCTAACACACTAACCGAATTCAGTTACAAGCACAAGCCACGTCAGCCACTAATTAACTAGCGTAGCATTTCTTCTTTCTGCTATAGACAAGCAACTCGTGGTTCTTATTAGTGACCATGGAACTTGAGCTCCTGGTTTTTATTGGGAATGTGGGATTACAAATTTATCCTAAATTTATTGCTTCATAGTCATACCAGTTAAATCCAAAGTTGTTTGCAGATTAATGGTTGTTTTCTGGATGCTTTTTCTGGCTTTGTTGTTTCCATGCATATTGTCGACTTTTTTATTTTATTTTTTTATAATCATTAAACCTATGTTTTCTTTTTATTTTATAGGTTCCACAATTTCTTTTGGACTATATGTGGGCAAAGGGCAAGGCATGTAAAATAGTGTGTACACAACCTCGACGTCTCTCAGCCATGTCAGGTTTATTGTCTGCTTTATCAACTGAAGTTCCTACTTTGTTTTTGCAACATTACTGCTTTTCCCTCTTATTCTGAACTAGACAGAGTTCTTAGCTTTTGCAATTTTCATGTCTAGTTGCTGAGCGAGTCTCTTATGAAAGAGGAGAAGAAGTCGGGGAGAATATTGGATACAAGGTAATATTGTTCGTGATATGTCTTTTGTGCTATTCGCCTATCTTAGATAAGAGTTCAAAAAACTTTTTGGTGAGAAATGTTTGTGAACTTAAAGCTGGAGAAATTTGTCTCCCATAAGAAGCGTCAAATAATTCTTCGGTCGAATAATTCTTTGGTCATGCACCTGAAAAATCAGATAGTTTAGAAGGAATTGGTAAAATTTGGAGTCATGAATAAGTAGTCCATCAATTGTTGTAAATTACCACACGCTCTTTTCTTAATTCCATGGGGCCGCCTTATCAGGTATAGTATTTTGTTTTCCTAGCTGTATACTTTCTTACATGGAAGCACTCCATCTTTGCAACTCCTGCACATTCATTATTGTGCAACATTACAGTTTCTCTTTTTAGCTGATTCTATTGGTCTGTTTATATTGTAATTGAACTGAATTAGGGGGTCAATGTTGGTTGAATGGACAGCACTGATGTTATTGTATAAAATATTTTGCAATATTTCTAAATACCTCAAAAGTCGATAGTATTATTGTGTGTACTTACGTCCTAATTATATAATACTTATTCGTTGTGCTCTGACTGACTTTTACCTCTATGGCAATGCTAGGTTAGATTAGAAAGTAAAGGAGGGAGGTCATCATCAATTGTGTTCTGCACAAATGGGCTTCTGCTGAGAGTTCTAGTTTCTAAAGGAGTCCACCTGGGTTCAAATAAGAGACTACAACAGCGAGGCGTTCCTCAGATGACTCACATTATTGTGGTACTATTCTAGCTCAATTTGTAGATTCTTTCAATGTCTTTTCCAGATCCGTGTCAGGGTCATTGTTAGAACTTAGAACTTGTTATGACCGCCCTGTTTAACTTCTAATATCTACTTGTTTTTTGGATGAATCATGGTTGGAGTAAAATTATAATGTAGTGAACTGAACTTTCCACTTGCTAGGATGAAATCCATGAAAGGGATCGCTTCTCAGATCTCATGCTGGCTATTATCAGGTATGTGATTTAAGAGGATTTTAGTAATCACTTCCAAAGATTCTATAGTTCTCAGAGGAGGTACTTATGGCATTGATGACCTGATTTTTGAACTTTTCCCTGATATTTGTGCCCAATTTGCAGAGACATGCTTCCTTCGTTCCCTTATATTCGCCTGGTTTGTTCAAATCTTTATACCATAGTTGTATGATTCTTTGTAAAAGGCTTACCTGTCGAATGAAAATCTCCATTTTGAAAGCTTTAATATACATCTTATGAAATATTGATGTGTATACTATCTCAATACAGATAATGATGAGTGCAACTCTTGATGCTGAACGCTTTTCGCAATATTTTGGTGGCTGCCCAATAATCCGAGTCCCTGGTTTCACATATCCTGTAACATCTTGAAGAACTGATTTTACCTTTCTTTTTTAAATTATATTGACTTCGGTTTCAATATTTTATCTTTTTCTTCTTTCAGGTAAGAACATTCTATTTGGAGGATGTACTTTCTATCCTTAAATTAAAGGGCAACAATCACCTTGATAGTAGTATATCACATTTTGCACTCGAAGAGTCTGAGTTATCGGTGGAAGATAAGCTTGTTTTAGATGAAGCTATTAATTTGGCTTGGTCAAATGATGTGTTTGATCCTCTTCTAGAGTTGGTTTCTTCTGAAGGAACCAGAAAAGTGTATAATTACCAGCATTCCTTGAGTGGTCTTACACCATTAATGGTGTTTGCTGGAAAGGGTAGAATTGGAGAAGTATGCACGCTCCTATCTTTTGGTGCAGACTGCCAATTACAGACCAAGGAGGGATTAACTGCACTTGAGTTGGCTGAACGTGAAGACCAGAAAGAAACTGTTGACATTTTAAAAAGACATGCGGAACTTACTCTTTCCAACTCTGTGGCAGAAGAACAGTTACTTGAGAAATATCTTGCAGAAATGAATCAGGATATAGTTGATGTTGTTCTTATAGAACAATTATTAATGAAAATTTGTACTGATTCAACGGATGGGGCTGTTCTTATTTTCCTCCCAGGGTGGGATGAAATAAATAAAATCCGTGACAGGTTACTTATGAACCCTTTATTCAAAGATACTTTAAAATTTAATGTATTAGCTCTTCATTCCATGATTCCATCCATAGAGCAAAAGAAGGTTTTCGACCGCCCACCTTCTGGTTGCCGCAAAATTGTTCTGTCAACCAATATTGCTGAAACTGCCGTAACAATTGATGATGTCGTTTATGTCATAGACAGTGGTCGGATGAAAGAAAAAAACTATGATCCTTATAACAATGTATCAACTCTTCAATCGTCTTGGGTCTCAAAGGCCAGTGCCAGGCAGAGAGAGGGACGTGCAGGTCGCTGTCAGCCTGGAATCTGTTATCACCTTTTCTCCAAACTTCGAGCAGCTTCTTTGCCAGATTTCCAAGTTCCTGAAATTAGGAGGATGCCGGTTGAGGAAATTTGTCTGCAGGTACTCCTTTCCCCTTATGTTTTACCTTATCCATTGAACTTGCTTGCTACTAGCCCCTGAGATTATAAGGTAGATTGTGAGATTGTACTACACAGAAATCTTTTACCTATATTTTTATGGCTTTATGACTTTTATGATCTCTCAATTCTATGATAACTCAGTAAGATGGATGTGCTTTTTAAGCTTGAAAATGGGTTCGTGAATTCTTTTATTTATTTATTATTTATTATCAGAAACTTATCATCTGGAATTGATGAAGTGACCATACTTGAGCTACATGTAAAACAAATTATACAGCTTAGTCTTATGTTCAAGAGTGCATTGTCTTGCCTCTCCTTTTTAGAGATCTCCTTGTTACCTTTTCAGATTGACTTCTTCTTCCTTTTTTTTTTTTTTTTTGATTGAGTAATTTTTCAGATTGTGATGGAAACCTCAACAAATTGGCAAGAACAAGACAGATGAATGTGAAATTTATTCAAACACAATCAATCACTATAACACTGGTGATATTCGAGATATCACCGACTCTCCTCCGAAACTATACACTTCCAAAAACTACCCTAACATCTTGAGCTCCCTCCTATTTATAGACTAACTCAGTCCCAGTCACAACCCACGCTCCCACGCTAACAAACTAACCGAATTCAGTTACAAGCCATGTCAGCAACTAACTAACTAGCATAGCGTTTCTTCTTTCTACTATAGACAAGCAGCGCCTGGCCCTGGTTCTTATCATCACCCCCATGCACAAGAACCTTGTCCTCAAGGTTCGAGTGGGGAAACTGAGTAGAGAACAACTCCCACGACTCCCAAGTACTATCACAATCACGAAGGTCCTTCCACTTGACAAGAACCTCAATGGAGCCATCCAAAAGCTTCCGAGACCGAAGGTGCTTGTGGTTCCACTACCAGTTCCATGTCCTCTGTCAAAGCGGCTGGCAGTTGCTGCACTAGAGTAGAGGGAAGTAAAACCTTCCGAAGCTACAACACATGGAACACGTCATGAATACGCACAAAGGACGGAAGCTGAAGTCGATAAGCAACTTCCCCGACCCGCTCCAGTATCTGAAATGGCCCATAAAAACAAGGACTTAACTTTTCATTGCGCCGACGAGCTGACGACCTCAAACGGTAGGGTTGTAACTTCAAATAAACCCAGTCACCGAGCTGTAAATGGACCGCCCTTCGCTTCCTATCCGCGTACAACTTCATCCGGTTCTGGGCAGTGGTTAACCGCACCTTCAACTCCCGAAGAATATCATTCCGATCACGTAGCTGATGATTAACAGCTTCCACCACTGAACCACCCTCCACCACCGAACCACCCTCCTCCCAACATAATAGAATAGGAGCCTCACGACCATACAAAGCACGAAACGGTGTCATACCAACTGAGCTATGGAATGTAGTATTAAACCAAAACTCGGCCCACCCCAACCAATTAGGCCATTGGCGTGGTTTGTTACCACAAAAGAAACTCCGGTTAACAACCTCTATCTGGCCATCTGTTTGTGGATGGTAAGCGGAGCTCATGCGTAGCTCAGTACCCGCCAGCCTAAACAACTCCTTCCAGAAGTTACTGATGAACACCCTATCCCTGTCAGAAACTATCGAGCGAGGAAAACCATACAAACAGACGACCTCTTTCACAAAGACGTCTGCGACCTCCCGTGCTATAAAAGGATGGGACAACGAAAAGAAATGAACATATTTGGTGAGACGATCCACCATAACCATAATCGTACCATGGCCCAAAGCCTTAGGCAATCCCCCAATAAAGTCTAAGGAGACATCATCCTAAACTTGCTCCGGTATCGGCAAGGGCTGTAAGAGGCTGACTGGCTTAAGTGCATCATATTTCACCCTTTGGCAAACATCGCATTCAGCAACCAAGCGCTGAATATCATGCTTCATGCCTTCCCAAAATAAGAATGCTGCCAAACGCTTATAGGTCCGAAAGAACCTAGAGTGCCCCCCCATAGCTGACGAATGGAATTCTCTGAAAAACTTTGAAATTAATGGAGAATTCGGTGGCAAAACCAACCTATTTTTGTAGTAAAGACGACCTCCCTTGAGTTGGTAACCTGCTTTAAATTGAGGGTCCAACAAGAGACCCTGAACAATCAATCACAACTTATCATCCTTTTGCACCTCCTCCTCAATGGTCTCCAATACCTGCGTATGCATCACCGAAAATGCCTGCAGTTGGGGCCCCTCGCTTTTTCTTTATAAGGCATCCGCTACTTTGTTATCACGGCCAGGCTTATATTGGATTTCAAAATCCAATCCAATGAGCTTACAAATCCATCGTTGTTGGTCCTCATTCATGACTTGCTGTTCAAGAAGAAACCGCAAGCTCCGTTGATCCGTTCTCACAATAAAATGCCTCCCCAAAATATAATGCTGCCATTTTTTTTTGTAGCCAACACAACTGCCATTAACTTGTGTTCATATACTGATTTGGAGCAACCCTGATTAGAAAGCGATTGGTTGATGAAATCAATTGGCATGTTTTCCTGCATCAAAACAGCTCTGAGGCTGCGTCCCGAGGCATCAGTCTCAATGACAAAAGTCTTGGTAAAGTCCGGCAAGGCTAGAACTGGTTTTGTGACCATCCTTTGTTTTAGCTCCTCAAAAGCTCCCTGTGCTTCAGAAGTCCACAAAAAAGTGACTTTTTTAAGTAAGCGTGTTAAGGGTTCGGCTACCTTACCATAATCCTTAACAAAACGTCTATAGTAGCCTGTGAGCCCCAAGAACCCACGTAAATCCCGGACGGTCGTGGGAATGGGCCAATCAATCATGGCGACAATTTTCTCAGGATTAGCTTGAATCCCAGTTTCAGTGATGATATGGCCCAAATACTTCATCCTAGCTGCCCAAAAACACACTTCTTGTTGGCCACCAATTGGTGTTGCTGCAGCAAGGCAAATACACTTTGTAGGTGCTGCAAATGAGAATCCCAATCCTTGCTGTATACAAGGATATCGTCAAAAAAGACCTAGACAAATTTGCGTAAGTGTGGCCAGAAAACCTCGTTCCTTAAGGACTGGAAAGTAGCAGGCGCGTTTGTTACGCTGAATGGCATAACCAGAAATTCAGTGACCGGCATGAGTACGAAAGGCTGTTTTCGGTGTATCCTCCTCATGCATCCGGATTTGATGATAGTCGGACTTCAAGTCTAGCTTGGAAAAGAAAACAACACTTCCTAGCTCATCTAGTAGTTCATCTATAGCTGGAATTAGAAACCGATGAGGGACTACAAATTTGTTTAATGCGCGATATTCCACACAAAAGCGCCACTCGCCGGATTTCTTTTTGACTAATAGCACCGGACTAGAAAAAGGGCTGTTGCTATGTTTAATGATTCCCCCTGCCATCATTTCTTTCACAATTCGCTCAATCTCATTGTTTTTAGAATGAGGAAAACGGTATGGCCGCAAATTCAGTGGATCTGCCCCTTCTTTCAGTGGATGTCCCTTCCTTCAGTGGAATCGCATGATCGTGAAACCTTGAAGGGGGAAGGCTTGCCGGAGGTTCAAAAACCGAATGGAATTCTGTCAGCAACTTCTCCGATTCAACTTCGTTGACACTTCCATTCGACCGTTCCAACACCGACACCTGCCCAAACTCGACCAAAACCCTTGTCCTTCCGCTTAAATCGCTTTAATAATTGCTTTGAGAGAGACTAGAGTTTTTGACAAGGAAGGACCCCCTTGGAGTAAAACTCGTTCCCCATGCCAATCGAACTGCATAGTTAGGTTCTTCCAATTAGCGCTCACTTCTCTTAACATGCCGAGCCAGCTGATTCCCAAAATTACATAAGCACTACCAAGTTCAATGGGGGAAGAAATCGTGAATTATCTCTAATCCCTGCAACCGGATTTCCACTTGCCGAAACACCCCTTGCCCAGCTACTTTGTAGCAATTCCCAACCATTATTCCAAAATTGGGCGTCTCATCTACCGGTATTCTCAATTCCGCAACAATTCCCTTAGAAAGGAAATTATGTGAGGCGCCAGAATCAATCAAAATAACCACATCTCTGCCTAAAATTGTACCTTTCACCTTCATCGTGTTTATCGATAGAATTTCGACTATGGAATTCATGGAGAGTTCCATGGATCCCTCTCCTTGCTCCTTCGTTGGTTCCCCCAACTCCTCTTCAACTCTATCCCCTTCAACTCTAGCTTCAGCTATAACCCCTTCTTCTTTGTCCATTGCCACTATGAGAACCTGTAGTTAGGGATTTTTACAAACGTGGCTGAATCACCATTTCTCCTCACATTGGAAACATAATCCCCGCTCCTCCTTTGCTGCATTTTAGCGTTTGAAATCTTCTTTCTGAAGCCTTCATGTCTCCTCGTGGTTTGTGAGGGAACAATAACTTGTTCCTTGTTGATCGACACATTGGACTAAATTGAGCTGGTACGTGTCATCTCTGAAGCTCCTCTACTACTATCCACAAGCTTCGGTGGAGTCCAGCTGGAGCCACTCACGAAATTGCCTCCCACCACTGTTTTCTTTAGCTCATAATAATCTCCTGATCTGAAAAATCCAGCCCCTTCTCCACTCGGTTTGGGCCTTGATAACCTCCTCACTTGAGCCCTCTCAAGGGCCCAATTCTTTTCCTCAACTTTGTGGGCCAAGTCCATACTTTGAACCAAAGAGGCAGGCTTCACCATTCGGACTTCAGCCTTAATCTCCTCAGCTAACCCATTCGAGAAGGCTCCAATTAGGAATTCCTCGTCCGCCTCTCTCAAGGGAGCTGAAAGCAACTCGAACTTCTCATGAAATTCCGCCACCGACGAGTCCTATTGCAGAGCAATCAAGGCCTCGTAATGGTTACCAGTTTGCGAAGATCGGAATCTCTGTATCACAGATTCTTTGAAGATTGGCCAATCAACGTTACCGGATTTGGATTCCATCCACTGGAACCAGTTCAATGCCTTCCCTTCCAATCCAATCATGGTCACCGCCACCCGCTCTGCCTCTTTGATGCCTTGAACTTGGAAATAATGCTCCAGCCGAAATAACTAGCCGTGCGGATCTTCGCCGTTGAAGAGAGGAATCTCCATTCGACAAAACCGCGATTCCCAACCACTCGGTGCTGGTCCACTACTGGAACGATTCGCCGCCATCGTAGTGCCGCCTCCTTCATCGCCGCTCGAAGCAGAAGCCCTAGCTTGCTCTGCAGGTGGATTCGCATTGCCTCCCGACCTCATCCAACCGGTAAGCTCCTTCATATACTCTTTCACGGCTCCCATATCCTCTGAAAGTTGTCCGAGACGACCGCTTTGAGTTCTCCGACATCCATCTTGAGCTCTCCGTCGTCTTTTTCAACAAATTCTAACCTCTCGACCATCCTTGTGAATACCATTCCCCAGGCGAAACTACTCTGATACCAATTTGATGGAAACCTCAACAAATTGGCAAGAACAAGACAGATGAATGTGAAATTTATTCAAACACAATCAATCACTATAACACTGGTGATATTTGAGAGATCACCGACTCTCCTTCGAAACTCTACACTTCCAAAAACTACCCTAACATCTCGAGCTCCCTCCTATTTATAGACTAACTCAGTCCCAGTCACAACCCACGCTCCCACGCTAACAAACTAACCGAATTCAGTTACAAGCATGTCAGCAACTAATTAACTAGCATAGCGTTTCTTCTTTCTACCATAGACAAGCAGCTCCTGGCCCTGGTTCTTATCAGATTGTAACAAAGTGGAGACGTGAAAACCATTTAATGCCATTAAATCAAACACCAGTCATTTTATTGACCCCAACATTATGGTAACACTCACCCGCCAGGACAAAGAAATTCAGAATTATATATATTCTTTGTACTAGGAAATAAGAGTTCAGCAGCTTCCCTTTACGCCATATACGAAGCTGCCTACACTTGTACAGAGAATCAATCCTCAAGGTTCTCATTATCCTTATATTCTTGCTGAATAAGGTTCTGGAATGAGTATAACTACCTCTTGACCATGGCTGGTGGAATGTGGATGATATAAAGTAACATGGTGGTTCCTCTCAGAAAGGAAGCAAGGAAAGCAACTGTTATAGCACGTTTTTTTGCATGTTTTGTGTAGTCTTGCTTGCTTTCTGCTCGTTCTTTTATTTGCACTCACGTACTGCATAAAAGATCTCAAATTGATCTTTCGAAACAAACGGCAGTTTACCTTGTTTTTTGATGTCGAGGGTACTGGAGAAGTATCTTTTTTTTGTTGCCTTTTTTTTCGTCTTTAAACTATAAACTTTGATCAGGAAGATGTTAATCTATTACAGTTTAGATGGAAAGGCAACTTTTGATGCACTAAATTCATCATTTGGTGTTTTTTCTTATTGACAGGTGAAAATGCTTGATCCAGATTGTAAGGTAGAAGATTTCTTGCAGAAGACATTAGATCCTCCAGTTATTGAGACCATACGAAATGCAATCGTTGTTCTTCAAGACATTGGGGCTTTGACACCTGAAGGAAATCTTACGGAGCTTGGAGAGAAGCTAGGTTCTCTCCCTGTTCATCCAGTCACAAGCAAGATGATTTTCTTTGCCATATTGATGAACTGTCTGGACCCTGCGTTGACTCTGGCATGTGCTGCTGACTACAAGGACCCATTTACTCTTCCCATGTTACCTCATGAAAGAAGCAAAGCTGAAGCCGCTAAAGCTGAGTTTGCCTCATTATATGGAGGTCGTAGTGACCAACTAGCAGTGGTAGCCGCATTTGAGTGCTGGAAGAAGGCAAAGGAAAGGGGCCAGGAGAAGGATTTTTGTGCTCAGTATTTTGTGTCTGCGAAAACAATGCAAATGTTGTCTCGTATGCGGAAGCAGCTCCAGAATGAGCTTATACAAAATGGGCTTATTCCTGAGGATGTCTCGCATTGTAGCTTGAATGCACGTGACCCGGGTATACTCCATGCTGTTGTCGTGGCTTGTTTGTATCCAATGGTGGGGAGATTGGTTCCACCTAACAGGAGTGGGAAACGAATATTTGTAGATACTTCTAATTCTGTTAAAGTTATTTTGCATCCCAAGTCATCTAGTTTTAAGTTATCACTTGGGAAAACTGATCGTCCCTTAGTTATGTATGATGAAATAACACGTGGAGATAGTAGTACGTACATTAGGAACTGTACGATCGTCGGGCCGCTGCCACTGCTATTGCTTTCAACAGAAATTGCTGCTGCCTCAGCTTTGGATGATGACGAGGGTGATGATGAAAGTGGAGAAGATGTGACAGACATTGATAAAAAGTCAGGTGGAGCTCATGAAGACAAAATTATGTCATTACCTGAGAATCTGGTTAATGTCGTAGTGGACCGGTGGCTTTATTTTAGGTCAACAGCACTTGCTGTTGCTCAGATTTACTTGTTGAGGGAACGTTTATCGGCAGCAATCTTGTTCACAGTAATTCAATGAACCTTATATTAACTATTAATTACACCTTATAGTTTGTATTAATGCATACAAATTGATTTTGACTCTTAGAAGATCTTATATTGATTCCTTGTCTGATTCTGTGCTTTATTGTCGTGTAGGTTAAACATCCACAGGAAGTTTTGCCTCCTGTTCTTTGGACCTCAGTATATGCTATAGCATGCATCCTATCTTTTGATGGTCTCTCTGGTGTCTCACTGCCCACAGAACCAGTGGATTCACTAACTTCAATGGTAAATGCTACTGAGATTGACAAGTCTATACTGGAAAAGGGTTTGCCGCCACAGAACACGGACAACTTCCTCAGAACACTTTTTATGGACACCCATTCCCATGACCATAACAATAACAATAGAACATCTACCTTTCGGGGAGCATCAAATGCAAGAAACCTGCTAAATTCCAACAAGAATGGTACCGGCATCCTTGGATCATACGGTCAGGAGGGAGGTTCGCCATACAATCGAAAGGGTGATTTACATAAGCGGCAGCGAGGGAATGGCGCCAGGTAATGGTGACGTTTATTCTCAATTAAATGTATTTTATATAGCACTAGATAATTAGAATGAGCTTGATGTTGAGAATCTCCAGCACATTGATGAGCAGATAATGGCGGATATGGCTAAATTTGGACCCCTTTTTTTTTTTAATTTATTGCTAGGACATATAGGGGAAACAAGCGCCGCACCGTTTTTGCTAAACCTTTTCAGATTCCAGTGCTTTTGTTTTTGGATTTTTGCTCCTTTTCTTAGGATACAAGAAATATTCTGGGAAAGAAAATAGTTACTTTCGGTACGACATGGTCTGTTTTTAAATGATGAGGAAGTTTCAGATGCTATATAAATGAAACTTATACTTGCCCTATAGATGCAATGTCTTGAGGCTTGAGCATGGTTTGCGGTTTATCTTCTTCAATTATGTGATGTTGCTTGAAATCTTGTTTAGTGTTGAAGAAATAACCTTCGCAACTAATCAGTTTGGCTTGTGTTATGTCTTGTGGTGAAATGAGATTTGTCTTTGTAATGTTGCGTGTGGATGAAAGATAATGAACTCTTGATAACTCGAACAGTCTAATTAAGTAGAGATTATGATTGCAAGCATAACCTAGCGGTAATTCGATGCCCGACTCCACAAGATATTAGAGTTTGAATTCTCCCACCTCCAAGTTTTATTTTATTTTATTTTATTTTATTTTATTTTATTTTAAGAAGAACATAAAATAAAATAAAAGCTGAGATCTCGAGATTTTATAGGGAGTGGAGGCTAGCAAATATGTTGCTCATTTCTAAGGTAACTTTTGATGGTTGCGGAATAGCAATTGTTTAAAAACTGAACCAAAAGAGGAAAAAATGTATTTTGGTACTGCATGTTTTTATTATTATGTATCTGGTGCGTGTGTTTTATAATATGAAAATGATACCTTTACGTTATCAATTCGATTTTTTGGGACATAAAAATATCTTTTATGTTTTTTCCCCCTTTTTTTTTTTTAATTTTAATTGGTCTGAAATGAGGAAAAAATACTTAAAAAGTTGAAAAAAAAAGAGAGAAACATGGGGTGCGTTTGAAATTGATTCCAAAACGTTTTTATTTTTTGTACGAAAATGAAAATGAAAACGTTTTTAGTTTTATTTTTGAATTATTTTTAAAAATGCGTTTGGTAGTTTTATTTAGAGATTGATTTCAGTTTAAAAAAAAACTGAAACTGCGTTTGGTGGTTTAATTTTTAAAAACATGTAATAATATATTAAATAAATAATATTATTAAATATATTAAATAAATAATATATTAAATATATTAAATAAATAATATATTAAATATATTAAATAAATAATATTATTAAATATATTATATAAATAATATTATTAAATATATTATATTAAATAATAATATATTAAATAAATATATTAAATAAACATATATAATACAAAAACGGTTTCAGAAAAGAGGGAAGAAAATGAAAAAAAAAAAAAAGTGAAATCAGTTTTTTAGAAAACAGAAAACGAAAACGAGAAAATAAAAACACATTTTTTTCGTTTTCTGATTTCCACAAAAAGACAAACGTTTTTTATTTTGTTTTTTTAAAAAAATTGCACCAAACACGTTTTTAACACCCATTTTCATTTTTTTGTTTTGAAAACCGTGAAAAACGAAAATGAAAACGCAAACAAACAGGCCCATGGTGTCATTTCCTTTTTATTTCGCGCCAATTTCAGTCAAAGAGTCATTTTGAAAATGTCATGTAAAGGATGAAATATTTTTGTCATTATCAAAACTATGGGATAGAAACAGATATTTTACAAGTGCCGAGATTGTTTTATAATTATCAAGTTTGAAACGAAAAGTGTTATTAAGTGAATTTGTTTTTATTTTAGTTTTTATGGCAACATCATCTTGAGCCATTGATATGTTATCAGCCTTGATGGGGGCTGATAATCAGCCCTAATGGGGACTGATAATCAGCCCCCATCAGCCCCAATGGGGGCTGATAATCAGCCCATATCTGCCCCAACGGGGACCTCCCAGGGGCTGAATTAGCCCTAATGGGAGGCCTCCATTGGGACTGTATCAGCCCCTGCGCGTGTGTGTGTATATACTTTACAAATTGACATTTATTTTAATGATGAAAGTGTTATTTTAAATGTGTGATAAGGACGATAATATGAAATAGCATGTTTGATGGTTTTCCGTTCGATTTGGTTGAGCATTTCTTCTGATTTGTTTTTTTTTGTTTTTTATTTTTTTTTTCCTGTTTTGGCCCCGTTCTCGTCTTGCCATTTGATTTGCTATATTCAACCAAATCGGTTGCTAGTTTTCCGTTTGATTTGGTGTTGTTTTGTATCTAATTTTGCTATGCTTGATCTGATTTGGTCATTTTTTCTGTTTTTTTCCCCTGGAGGCCCCCGTTGGGGCTGAATCAGCCCCTGGGGGCCTCCCATTAGGGCTGGCCTGGGAGGCCCCCAATGGGGGTTGATAATCAGCCCCCATCATCCTCAATGGGCGCTGATTATCAGCCCTGATGGGGGCTGATTATCAGCCCCTATTAGCCCTAATGGGGGCTGATTATCAGCCTCAATAGCCCTAATGGGGGCTGATAATCAGCCCTGATGGGGGCTGATTATCAGCCCCCATCAGCCCTAATAGGGGCTGATTATCAGCCATGATGGGGGCTGATCAATGGGGGCTGATAATCAGCCTTGATGGGGGCTGATTATCAGCCCCCATCTGCCCCAACGGGGGCTTCCCAGGGGCTGAATTAGCCCCAATGGGAGGCCTCTATTGGGACTGTATCAGCCCCTGCGTGTGTGTGTGTCTGTGTGTGTGTGTATATACTTTACAAATTGACATTTATTTTAATGATGAAAGTGTTATTTTAGATGTGTGATAAGGACGATAATATAAAATGGCTGACCGCAATTGAGGATTTGTTTCCTCTCGGACGTATGTTTTTTTTTAAGTATTGTTGAGCATGTACAACATATTTTTCTCTTGGACTTGTGTTTGTTAGACTTTGTTACTTGTTTTTAGTCGGATTGAATTACATTGGGGTTCTTCGTTTGATTAGTTAATGTTATATGGATGTTTGATTAGTTCCAGTCTTGGTTCATTTTTAGGTTAATATGGATTCAGATAGTGAGAATGATGCCAGAGCTGTTGACTTTCTCCAGTCATCAGATGATGATGAACAACCACAACATTATATCCAATTATTGATGTCGATTGGAAACAGATGAACTAGGCAACCTCGTCGTAATTCTGCATTAACAGGACGAGAATGTGTTTTGGAACAATTACATGGACATCTAAAAAATTTGTTTGAAATGTGTCGTATGCATCGAGACACGTTCGAAGCAATTGTTCAGTTAATTCGAGGCCGCAATCTACTACCTTCTTCAAGTATTTCAGCAGAAGAACCTCTAATGATGTTCTTAAGAACGGTTGCTCACTCAGATCACAATAGAGAGATACAAGATAGATTTTGTCATTCTGGAGAAACAGTACACCGACATTTTGATAATATGCTTACCGCATTGTCTACGTTAGGACCTCAAGTTATAAAACTACCAAATATGAACATTGTCCCCCTAGAGATTCAACACAACCCTAAGTATTGGCCATGGTTTAAGGTACAATCTGACTCTGCTCATATACTATTAATATGACAAATAATTTTAAATTAATCGTAACTCACGCCTTATGTATTTTAATAGGATTATATTGGTGCAATAGACGGTACACACATGATGGTTGTCCCACCTGCACATCAACAGACAGTCTACAGAGGAAGAAGACATTCATGCACTCAAAATGTAATGGCGGCGTGTAGTTTTGATATGCTATTCACTTATGTCAATACCGGATGGGAAGGATCACCTGCTAATTCCAGAGTGTTAACTGAGACTATGAGAGACGCAAGGCTTTTTGGCACCATTTCGTAGTCAGAGGTACCATATTCAACAGTTTAGAAATGGTGGTCAACCAATGGAACCACAAGAGTTATTCAATTATTATCACTCTTCACTGCGTAATTGCATAGAGAGGTGCTTTGGGGTCTTGAAAGCAAGGTTTAAAATTCTTAGGCATATGATCAATTATTGGATGCCAAGACAAAATGTTACACCAATAGCTTGTTGTGTGATCCATAATTTAATTAAGATGCACGCGCGAGATGATCCTCTATTTAGACAATATGAGGTCGATTTGCCCGTAGAAGATATTGAGGGAGAACAAGAAGGGCAACAAGAACAACAACATGGTATGGATGCATAAGAAGCAGAAACATCTGAAATGGATGATCGGCAATAACGTAATTACATGGTTAATTTTAGGGATCATCTAGCTAATCAAATGTGGGATTCTTATAGGCGATAATAATTTAAGCTAATATTGTAATTTCCATATTTTATTAATTATTAGTGTTTTTATTTGTGATTCAATTATTATTTATTTAATACATTAAATACTATTACATGTTTTCAAAAATGAAACCACCAAACGCAGTTTCAGTTTTAAAAAAACTGAAATCAATCTCTAAATAAAACTACCAAACGCATTTTCAGAAATAATTCAAAAATAAAAATGAAAACGTTTTCATTTCCATTTTTGTACAGAAAATAAAAACGTTTTGGAACCAATTCCAAACGCACCCTCTATTTCCAGCAACATCCCTCCACGTGAAAATCTCTCTCCTCCATGGCGACTCTCTCTCCTCCGCGACTCTCTCTCCAAAAAAAGTGTTCTGTTACAAATGCTTCAAAATCCAACACCATAATACCAAATACTAGCTTGATTAGCTCAAATTTCCCACAAAAACATGCCTTAAATTACTAAAAAAACTGCAAATCAAAAGGAGTCTAATTAATCACCACCACAAAATACCCATGCGTCAAATTTCAAACCCAGAAAAGAAAACCAACTATTGTCGAAAAAGAAGACGGCTTGATAGAAACGAAGAGCAAAAACGGACCACAAAACACCAAATCCATTATTCGGTAAAAAAAGCCTACTGTTGACGGTGAAATTTCGTCAATAAGATCTTACTGGATTACTTCACGGTAACCTATTATATTACCGGTTCAGAATTTATGTTTTCACTGAATATATTGAAATTTGTAGTTGGATTTTTGCTAGGTTATGAAGTAAATGAGATTATGCTTATGAAAGTAAATGCATACATGAATTTTGTAGTGGTTCACTCTGTTAATCAAGAGCTACATCCACTGTATTGTATTTATCTTGTTTGGCTCTTTACAGATTACATAAGAAAATGAAGATCCCCCTTCTCTCGGAGGCTTTTTCCTATTTATAGATGAAGAGCTTTTTCCCTCGCACTCCTCCCACCATGGGCTGCTCTCTGGGCTTTTTTGGCGGTTCCCAAGTGGCCCAT